TCTCCCTGCTTCTTAGTGACATTATCGCCTTGCTTCGGGCGAAATGATTAAAACAAAAAATGTTCGAACTTAGCATCCTGGCTGGCGGGGGGGGTATCAGAAAGTCCTATTTCTAAATGTTATGGTTAAATAGTTCTGTATTTAGAAATCCTGTCTTAATTAAAGTATTTTTTTTTTTAATTTAGTCATTTTTAATTTTTTACAAACAGTATTATTCATGGTGATAGAAAAAGGAGTCTATCTTATTTCAAAGAAAAAAATATTCGTTTGGTTTGGTTTGTTTTACAGCATATCAACCTCAATGGGTTATTTAATGCTGACAAAATTTTATTGCTGGTAATATTTCTTTATCTATCTATCTATCTATCTATCTCAGTATATACTAGTTTGGTTTGTTTTGTTTTACGGCATATCAACCTCAATGGGTTATTTAATGCTGACAAAATTTTATTGCTGGTAATATTTCTTTATCTATCTATCTATCTATCTATCTATCTATCTATCTATCTATCTCAGTATATACTAGTTTGGTTTGTTTTGTTTTACGGCATATCAACCTCAATGGGTTATTTAATGCCGACAAAATTTTTATTGCTGGTAATAATTTTTCCTTCAATTCTGTTGCTGGTAATATTTTTTTCAAAAATATAAAGCTGGTAATTTTTTTCCAAAAATATATAGCTGGTAATATTTTTTGAAAAAAAATATATAGCTGGTAATATTTTTTTCCAAAAATATATAACTGGTAACATTCTTTTCAAAAAATATATAGCTGGTAATATTTTTTTCCAAAAATATATTTTGCAAATATGTATTGCTAGTAATATTCTTTTTTTATTTTTATTTTTTTTCAAAAATGCATTGCTGGTAATATTTTTTAAATGTATTGCTGGTAATAATTTTTTGCTTCAAAAATTTATTGCTGGTAATATTTTTTGACAAAGTATTACACTTTCATAGTGTTTTAACCCCAGTTTGGGGGTTAAGTATTTACCCATAGCTGGGACCCTAACAGGTGCTACCACTCTAAGTGGAACGTAGCTGGGAAGACCAGCAATTAAAAGTTGGTTCTACACTCCTTAAAACCTCCTGAACAGAGGCCTTGCTGTCGAATGTAGTTTATCGTCTTACCAAGGACACTTCATTTTGGGAGCTTGGGGTCTTACCCCTCTGCAGAGGTGCAGTCAGTGTATTCTGAAGTCCCAGCCGACAGGGTGAAAAAATATTTGTCATTTTAAAACGGATAAGCCGTTTATTTGCTAACATGATTGTCCGCGTCTCATTTTAATCTTTTCATTTTGAATTCAATTTAATTTTTATCGCTGTTTATTTAAAATTAATTGAATGCCGGAAGGTTTATGTATGTATCTAAAAAGAAACTTGTTTTACAAAAGTAGGACCGGGCAATAAATAAATAAATAAACTATGTTAAAAGGAAGTGGTTTTTTTTTTTTGTTTTGTTTTTTGTTTTTTTCTTGGCACGACTGTGGTTGTATAGTCACTCGGTAAATCTATTTTAACCACTTTAATGTTAATAAAATCGTAACATATAATTCAAAAATACGCTTTTAAGTAGGCGCCCGAGGGGTGATGTTTTGACTTGGTTCAACAGGGAGTTTCGGGTCTTTCAACATCATACTTCCCATCACCACATTGACCCAATCAGGGGAGATCAATCCCTGATTCCCCCTCTTAATCAAACGCTAACAGCAACTCTGGCCTTTTTTAAAGAATTAGACGAAGACCGATCACATCCGATTGGATGTTTGTATCAACCAATCCGCTGCGCGAACTATCTTTTAAATGGCGCGCAGTGGGGACTGGCTTCTTTTCTTATTTCGGTGGATTGCAGTTTCAATGGATAACCGAGGGGGTGTTCTTAATGTTCCTAACCCTAACCCTTTTCCTCAAGTATTTATGGTTTAAATATTGTTGATATATGAAACTGAATTTATACATTTTTTTATCTTGATAACTGACAGCAAGAATGTTAAACACTATTTATTTAATTGTTTATTTACAAGATGTGAGAAGAATAACAAATATATAGGATTCAATTTGTAAACTATAAAAAATAAATTATTTACACTCTTGTACAATTTAATTGAAACAAAACGAATAATTCCGTTATTATTTACTTATTATTTTTTTTTTTAGTATTTTTCCAATGAAACATGACCCAGTGCACATGTCAGTACTTTGTCCATTCCACGAAGTTGTTCCTTACAGATTGACCACAGATTCTCGATTGCATTTAAATCAGGACAGTTTCCGGGCCAGTCGATAATACTTTGATTTACTCACTGGTAAGGCTTGCCAGTGTGTTCGTGCAGCGTTACAATTTTCGTACGCTTCCTTGGAGTAACGTCCATTGCAGACAATGGCCATAGGACAACTAATCGACAGTCGAGACGATAGTGTGTGGGTGTGATGAAAATCTGATGGAATCACGGATTACGCAATATTTTTCTAGGCCAAACAAATTTCATCATGCATCCCGAAAAGAGATTCATATTACTGCACACCACTGCAAATGACCTAATCTGAGGTTAAATAGAAATCGATTACACCCTATCACTTCAGTGGGTCTAAAACTGACCGTATCGTGAAAGAATGGAAAGTGAAGCGGTTGTTTCAATTAATTGGCACATAGTGTATTTACAAGATTATAAGAATATTGTTATAGTTCAGAATAAAAATAATTTCATATTTGCAAGACGATTTTTAAATAAGTGCCTAAGTTAAGTTTTATGGTTTATTAAGCTTCTAAAAACAGCTTTTTAAAATAATACAAATTATCAATGCAGTATTCAGTACATACTGTTTTTTTTAATGGTACTAAGTTAACGTTGCCACCTATAAAATGTTTTTGTTGAAAGTTTAGCCTTTATCTTACTTCATTCATTAACTGCGACACTGTTTAGTCAGGTTTAAATAGGAACTACAAAACTAATCGGCCTATTTTTTAATCTTTTTTTTTTGTATTATAAAAAAAAGAATCTTTAAGCATTTTATGAAGTTTTACTCAAAGCAATTTGACTACTTCACATATTTGAGGTTCAGTTAGAACTTTTTAATGTAATATCAGTCCTCCTATATGACAGTGAATGCTAGACAATCTCCTCACAGATGAAGAAGAGGCGTGAATGAACAGAAATGTGGTTCTACAGAAGGATGCTGAGAATACCATGGAGAGTACATGCGAACAACGACGAAGTTCTAGAGACAATAAAAACAAAAAGACACTTATACTTAACATTAGGAAGAATCAATCGACATTTCTCGGGCACATGAAAGAGGGCTTGGGAAATTTGATACTGACAGGTAGACTGAAGACAAGAAGGAAAGAGGAAAACATCGCATACCCTATCTAGCGAGCTTGAATGAATGGATGGTGGAGCAGTGTTTGGGAGAGATAGAGACAAGACAAAACTTATTAAAACTACAAAGGACAGGAAATTATGGAGAGCCACAATCGCCAACGTCCTGACGAAACACTGCATATAGAATAAGTTCGAGGGGGACAAAACTATGGTTGCTTTAACCACAGCTACATTTTATAATGACAACTATTTTTTTTAATACTGATGTTCACCGAATGCAAGGCCCAAGATCCACTCAAGCTAGATGGTTTACTGCTTGGTATTGTATGAGGGTAAGAAAAGGCAAGAAGCTAAGTTCATGGGGTTTGTGCAGGAAAGATAACAGTTAACCCTAGATTTGAAGAGATCGAGATAGTAGTGATTGGGAAAATATTTAACCGGGTGTCTGTTCCACAAAGCAGCGGTTATTGGGAAGAAACTGTCCGAATGAAATTTACTACTTGTGATTGGAATACGAAGGGAATAGAGATGATTCACACTTGTGTACGTGGCATGGCGGGTCCCTATGATAAGGAAAGGGATGGTGGGTTTAATGAATGTGGTCCGTCAGAACACATGCCATGGAAATAGCGATAGAGTAGCGAGGGGCTCGTGATGTTTTGTCTGTGGAAAAAAAAACTGTATGGCGGAACAATATACATTTTAATTTACAAATATCTTCGCTTATACAAAAATTCGATTGATTCGTTTTCTATGACATATCAACTTTTTGCAGGTTATTTAAAGCCAGAAAATATTTTTAGATTGGAAGAATTTTTTTTTTTTTTTTGAGATAACAATGATTTAATGATAAAAGTCTAATTAACCCACAACTTGTTAGGAGGAAGTGTTGGAATCAAAATTTGATAGACAACAAATTATAATGAGGATATAAAGTGAGGGATCAATTCTATATGACAATCAATATATAAAATGATCCCTCACATTATGGCCACGGTAGTTTCTCTACATTTATATTCCAGAGAATGTAAATAAATCCAAAAGACATGTTTGTGTAGTTAATAAGTATTTCATTGATTGGTTGATTCTTTTTCTATGGCATATCAAACTTTTGCAGGTTATTTAAAGCCAGAGAATATTTTTAGATTGTAAAAATTTGGGGGTTGGGGTAGGGGAGATAATAATAGTTTAGTGATACAAGTCTTGCTAATTAACCCATAACTTGGTGGAGAGAAATGGTGGATACCATATTTAATCAGAATTTGATAAACAATTTGATAAAGTGAGGGATCAATTCTATATTACAATCAATATATAAACTGATCCCTCATTTTATGGCCACGGCAGTTTCCCTACGTTTATATTCCAGAGAATGTAAATAATTCTAAAAGATATGCTTTTATTTCATTGATTAATTCTTTTTCTATGGCTTATCAAACTTTTGCAGGTTATTTAAAGCCAGAAATATTTTTAGATTGGAAGATTTTTTTATTGAGATAATAATGATTTAGTGATGCAAATCTCACTAATTAACTCATATCTGGGAGCAAGAGATGGATACATAACTTTCTCAAAGATATTTTGCGCTTATGTGAATGTAAAGAATCCGAATTGGAACTCGGCTCTCCGACTTCAAATTGCCAGCCCTTATCCATTACACCATCTGCACATCCAAGCTTATAGCACCTGGTGTTCCCAAACAGTCACCCATGTAGGTACTGACAAGGCTCGATGTTACTTGACTTCGGTGATCGGACGAGAACGGTGTTTAAGCGTAATATGGCCGTAATAAAATTTCAGCGTGATATAGCCGTGTAACAGCAAAATTGTCCACTTTAAGCTTTGAATCGTTGTATCTTAGAAATGATTAAAGATATCTTAATGGAATTCTCCGAGGATTTTATAACATTATTGGACTCTACTTTGAGCAATAAGAAAGTATAATTACTCTCCAAGCTTAACAGAAGAATCGTAATGAAATCGATCCTAAACGAAAATGACATGTTCACCATTAATTAATCATAGCCAAGGATCGGAAGCTCATGAAGGATTGATATAAAGTTCATATATATATATATATATATGTGTGTGTTTGTGTGTGTGTGTGTGTGCTATTTCAGGACCATTTTCAAACTTATTCAAGATGATCTTTGCCCTCTCTAACTTTCTTTCCTGAAGTAACAAGATACCCCACAGGTTTCACATACGATTTCATTTTCATGTCTTTTTTCACTGTTCTTTGGACTGCTATAGCTGAAGCTCCTCTGTCACGTGCCAAACGTCTTATGGATTAAGTTGGATCTTTTCTAATTGATCTTTAGCTCTAAGTTGAAATGATGATCCCTCTTCCTGTTGGGACCTCCTGATCCAATTTTAATCTCTACTGTTCTCTCTTTTTTAAAATTTATTCACCGCTCTCTTGATGGTTCTTGAATGAACTTTGGCGATGGAAGCCAGAGTATGAATATTGGTACCATTACTGAAGGCCTGAATGATCATTTTTCCTCTCACTAATGCTCAGTTGTGAAGACAGTGGAGCTGAAACAAGACGAGTTTAACCTGTTCTCTTTCTATCTGAATAACTCAAAGGGTTTTTCATTGATTCTTACGATAAATGTCATCAAGATGGCTAAACGTCGTATCTGAAAACCTGAAAAAAGAAACTCAGTTCAGTGGGGTTTTTTTTTTTTTTTGGGGGGTGTTAGATGTTAAATCTTTTTGTAGGATGGCCAATTATCCCATGCTGTTACATAATTTGGACAATTTTGCTGTTACACCCGGTATATGGATTTAAACGTCTAAATATTGTATTTTTTGGAGTTTATGTTGGAAATATTCACAAAGATTAATGCTTTTTATTATAGGATCCTATTATAATTGTGCTTGTGCCTCCTTTTGGTAGTTCGCACGACCGTTGCGCCCTGTCAATACCCTATAAATAATGAACCACCCCGTTTTGATCGCGTGGAAAGACGGGAAAAGTCACTACTTAGTTTCAGTGGGAAAATAATAAGTAAAAAAAAAAAAAGAAAGAAAGAAGGGAAGATAGAAGGGAAAATGAGAAGCAAAAAAAGAGAAAGAAGAGAAGAGAGAAGGGAAAATGAGAAGTAAAAAAGAAAGAAAGAAGTGAAGATAGAAGGGAAAATGAGAAGCAAAAAAGAAAGAAAGAAGGGAAGATAGAAGGGAAAATGAGAAGCAAAAAAGAGAAAGAGGGGAAGAGAGAAGGGAAGAGGAGTAAAAAAAAGAGAAAGAAGAGAAGAGAGAAGGGAAAATGAGAAGTAAAAAAAGAGAAAGAAGGAAAGAGAGAAGGGAAAAGAGAGAATCGGATTAAGCTGATAAGAACAGATACTACACTTTGATCTAAGCAAAAAGGCAGAGGACCGATAGCGACCGCGATAAAAGACGCTCAGTGTCGAACGACGGAAATCGAGGAAGACAATCGCCAAAAATCCAGTTACCATATATAAAATAACATCGTCGGGTGAATTATTTTAAAATTATCATTAAGAGAATGGCACGTAAGACGGGAATTTGGATTGTAGATAATAAATCTGAAGAAAAATCGTGTTCCTCTAACAACCGCAAATATCTTTGACACGCATTTTAATGTTTTATTAGTTTACAAGTTGTTTTGAAAGTTTACGCACCAAAATACTTAATAATAAAACTGTCATTGAGAATTTTATGCTTTTATTGCTATAATGACTTTATAAAATCAAATCAAGTTGATATGTCCACTTAGCAATGTATGATAGAATTTTTTGACTGACTAACGTTGATTCACCGTGACTTCATATCTTCTATAATGTGTCTAGTAATTAAGTAAGGTTCACAAATCCACGCAAATTTTACTAAAGCGGCAATGTTTCATGGATAAAACAAGACTACGCGACAGAACCTTTCAGGTGGAGACAGGCTGTATTTTGTATTCTATGAAAGGCAATAAAGCCACTATACTTCACAAGATTTGGCGCTCAAACCTTCCATCTTTAAAAGTACAAACCTTTCGACCATTGATTGAACCAATTCTACTGTATGGATCAGAAACTTGGACATTATCTGTTCATCTTGAAAGACGACTGAATGGGACACATACAAATCTGCTTAGAAAAATCCAGAACAGCAGCTGGAGATTTCGGTGCTCGGTAAAAATGGCAACGGTTAAAATGGCAACGGTAAAAATGGCAACGGTAAAAATGGCAAAAGTGTATAAATAGGAAAAAATGGCAAAAGTGGATAAATAGGAAAAAATGGCAATTCGACAACAGAAAATTATGACCATTCGAGAAGGATGGGTCTAAGCTCCCATCCCTCTAGTTTAAAATAAGGCTAAGTACCCCCCTCAATGTTTTAAAATAAATATTTTTAAATAGATATTTACTTTAGTGTGGGGAGCTAGGTTCCTTCTCCTCTTGTTTTAAATAGGGGCTAAGTTCCCGCTCCTAGTATTAAAATAAATAATGAAATAAAATAATGAAATAAAACTTTTTTATAATAGGAATATTTTCTTTGAAAATATTTTTTAAATAGTTTATTTATTATTTTTTATAATTGGAATGTTTTATTTTTGTGTGAAAATACTTTTTAAATAGTTTATATTGAAAACATTTTTAAATACTTTATTCTATTTTTTAAATAGTCTAATAGTTTTTTTTATAAATAGAAATGTAACAAAATTTAAAAATATTAAACGTCATAGTAATAATGTATCCAATATATTGTTTTTTTATTAGACTGCATTACTGATTCCCACGTGATCAAAAAAGTTAAATTAAAAAAAAAACAACTCTACCGTTGTCATTTTTACCTTGCCATTTTTTCCGTTGCCATTTTTACCGCTGCCATTTTTACCGCTGCCATTTTTACCTAAATTCGGAGATTTCATGCAACGTGCGGCACCTTGCATTATTAGAAATATTCATAGAAATATGATTTAATTTTTTTTTTTACTCGGTTTATTAAACAGGTTGTTGATTTTTTTTTAAACGGAAAATAATTGAGTTGAAAATAATTCACTAAAGTTGTACTTAGACGATCCTAAGGAAAGAAGAAGGAAGGGGAAAGAAAAGAGGAAGAAAAAAAAAAAAGGAAAGAGAGATGGATGATGCATGACCCGGTCATAAGCGAAGATAGGTGTCAGAAAGATATCTTGGCCTGCGTGTTGGCCGAATTTTAAAAGACAATAGAGAATTGTTATTTGAAATGAAAAATCATTTAGAGGGAGAAAAAGAACGATTGATAAGAATATCGGTCAAAGCACCTAGCCTACTTTTGCGTGGAAAGACTCATTGTCAAATTGGAGAAAGGGGAATTTCTTTTTAGAACAATAGAAACGAAATTTTTTAATCGGAGAAAAAGTGTCTTTTGGGTTGAGGGGAGTGACCGGTGGAACGGTATACAGATTCTGACCTATTAAGAATTGGAAACCCACGATAATAAAGTGGGGACATTTTCAATGTAGATAATTAAGATTTTCTGACTGTCGGGTCTGACAAAAACAAGAGGTGAAAAAACGATTGTCTCAGCTCACAGATGGCGCCAATATTCTTTCCTGGAGTCACATCTAATTAGCGGCAGGCTGTTTTGACAGAGCCCAGGTGAGAAAAAGCCAAGATTGTCATTTTCGTACGTGCAAAAGGGCAAAATTAGATTTTGTTTTTTAAAACAAGAACGATGTAAGCCACGCCCGATTTGAGATGGAGGCGCCCAACCACAATCTCATTGGCCGAGGGCCGTCGTGATATGCGGAAGAGGAAGAATGCTCGATCAGGAACCATTGGTCAAAAAACGGTCACCTGACATACGAGAAACCGGGAGAGATGGGTGTACGCCTCCCCACCAAAGGCACTGTGAAGAAGTAGGGGTGAAAACAATAGCGATAATGGGGAAACAGAATTAATGCGGCTATTGGAATTATCGAGAAACCCCTGACGCCAACAGACCCACCCCGGTTTGCTGCGGCGTCAATAAAAGCAGGACCCCAGTCGACAGAAATCAGTTGAGTTGAGAGTTTCGGCGGAGTTGCAGCTGGACCGCGGACAGGGATAGAGCCTGAACGCGGGCATCAGGCCCGATTCACTCGCCCCTTTGCGGGCAAGAGAATCCTCAGACAAGAAATCCTTCCAGCCCAAGTCGAAACAAGAAATCCTTCCAACCCAAGTCGAAGACAAGAGAAGTTCCATCTAAGTCGACGAAGAAGAAGAAGTTGAAATCAAGCCCAGCCGAGAACAGAATTCGACCCAACCAGATCGAAGTGAAGAAATACAACTCAAGTCGAAGAGAGGAATCAACTGCGAATGATTGACAGAAATTAGCCCCAGAGTCGAACTAGACCACACTCCGACATACATAATTCTGAAGAGTAGACAACTCGAAATCTTTAAGTTGTATGAGAGAGGCTTGGTGCCATAGTCCACAAAGCGGGTCGGGAAATAAGAACAATTTTTCTTTATGTAACGGACATTAGATATAAAAGGTTGTCACCCTTTTTATCAGTAATTTTTGTCTCGTGAGTTTTTTTTTTTTACTTGTGTTTTGCCACCCCCGTCGGACTCAACTTGTATCGGCCCCAATCCCTGCTGGTCCCGTCTGTCTAAGATCTAAACACAGCGTGGGTAGACAGACCGGAGATCAGTACAGTTGCTTCAGTAACCAGGTATTGGAAGCGGGTTGGGAAAGGCGAGGCTGGTGATCATCTAACCAAGGGGTTGGAGCGGCACGCTTGGAACCAGGAGGAGCGACCAGGAGGAGCGACGTCACGGTTGGCGCCGTAACCAAGGGATTCGACC